GGGGGGGGGCAACCCCACTCCATTTTTTTGTTAATTATTTAAATTGCCGGCAATTATTTTTACATTCAGCTGTCAGCGGGGAACCCCAGTGACAGCTGAAGCATTAAAGATTGTTTTCATGACTAAAATACCGCATGACTTAATATAACTCTTTAGTAGCTGTGTGATATCTTACTGCATACTTGGATGTGGTAAGATACCGCTTAATGAGTTGTCCCGGTTTGAAGTTTGTGGTTGAACTTTGGTTAGGTTGGAATGTTCATCCACAAACCGAATGGGGGCGTGGGGGGTGTTCGGCCCATCACTATATACTACTGTTAAAATTCAACTTTTATTATTTATTCCTCAGGTTCTGTGAAACTCAAGCTAAAACAGACAAACAGAGGGGCCTGTGCGCTAGGGGCGGCCATTACCAGGACAGGTAGAGGACAAGTGGAAGGATTTGTTTTTCCTCTTCCGTTCCTCTCCTCCTACCTCTTTGCCTCTCGCCCCCCTCTTCTTCATTCTCCAGTTTTTGGTTTCTTTTTTCCTTCTGGATCAATGTGGAAGGCACTTTGGGGGTAACATGTATAGGAGAGGAGACTAAAAATATACCTTGGCTGTGATATACAGTATGTTGAACTCAGTGGGCTTCTATACATAAAACAGACCTGCCTGTCTTCCTCCCATGGGGAGGTTTGGTGTGGATGGTGGCCCTCGGGCCCATGGATTCAGTCTGGGTTTAACCCTCTATTTTAGCATTAATGTTATAGAACCTGAGGAAGTAGGGGGAGGATACCCACAAAACGTGTCGTAATCATTGCATTGTTTCCCCCAGTGGACCCTAATTTTCATCTAGGAGCTTCACCGTTGAATGGAGGGGAACTGTCATGTACCTGGTAGAAGAGCCTGACACAGTGAGGAAGGCCTCTCTTACACCTCTGACTCAGGGCCCCTGATAGAGCAGATAGGTGGCGCAGGAATACAGAGTGGCATGGGTGCCTATTGGTGTTGCTAGCAGCAGGGGCATTCGGACACTCTGGATCAAGCAAGGGAAGACCATCAGTAGACCACAGTACTGGATGGACACAAGTGGGCAGGAGACAGGAGCAGGCACCAGTGGGATATAGGCAGAGGCACACAGCAGGCAGTCCAGCCCGTGATGGGGACAGAGGCAGAGACAGATGAACCGGGTCATACACAAGCAGGAGGATCAGCTGCAGATGCGTAGGCAGGAGCCAAGTCAGGATGCAGACCGAGTCGGTAACAGATCAGTGGAGCAGCAGCAAGGGGCACAGGCAAAAACGAGGTCCAAGGCAGGCCAGGGTTAGTGCAGGTGGAGTTCAAGAGTAGTCAACACAAGCCGGTTAGATAACAGTAGCCAGATGCAGGGTAACAGGTCATAGGTAAGTACATGGCCTGGAGCTGAGCAAAGCTAAGGGGAGGGCCAGCATGACTGGGGCTTGCAGAAAGAGGCAGAGATGTATGGTGGGGTGTTTACTTCTGAATAAAAGAGGGTGGCTTACCTGATTGGAAGCTTAAGCAAAAGAGAAGTGGTCTCCAGGATGATGAGAGTAGGTTGGGCTTGTCGGGCTTCAGTCAGAGCTTGTGGCGGCATTGGTGAGGTTTCTCTCACCCTCCCTCTGTGGACTTCTTGGTTTTGTTTGTGTTGTTCTTGGTTGTGTCCTTTCTATTTGTGTTGATTTTTTTGAGTTTGTCGGGTTCTGTCTGTCTCTCATCTTGGGGTTGGGGTTTTTGTGTTTTCTGTCATGGCAGCCGGCTGGGGTCGCTGGGTCTTTGAAGGTGATGCTGGAGTAACATTTTTGAGGATTATGGGTTGGACCCATTGTAGGTATGGTAACCCTTCCCAAGGTTACATTGGTTATTTTGTATTTAACGGGCTGTACCTGGGACTACGTAGCTGTATCCTTGTCCCCGAAGCGGTGTAGTAACGGCTGGGAGCCTTCTCATTCTGTGGCAGATACAGCCAGGATCTTTGCTGTGATTATCAGTGCCTTCGAAGACCTTGGACCTGATTAGTATCTCTACTGTTTGGTTAATACATTGATTGTACTTGATGCATTGATTATATATTAGTTGTATCCTAATTTTTCATTATGTTAAATAAATTGGCTGCTATGGCTGTTTTGACACCAGAAAAATTGGAGAGTTGTGTAGTTATTTCAGGTTCTAGTATGCTGGAGGGTTGTTTTCTTTGTTTAAAGGGGGGACAACTAGGTCAATGGTTAGCTTCCATACTCTGCAGGTCCCTCAGTCATGCACAGGAATGCTGTAGACAAGACAGCACTGAAGCATAACACAGGCTCAATTTAACTAGCCTGCTTGGCTCCAATGCAAGCAACAGATGTGTGTGCGTGAGCAATAGGTATGCGCAAATATGCACGTGCACGCACACACACATTTCCTACCTGTATGTAAAGGAACATGGATTAGCCTGCGCTTATGCACAGGATGCCGTCCGGAAGAGACATCTTATCTGCTGGTATGCCCTTCCTGACAGGAATACATAGCGATTCACTATGAAACACATGGAAATAGGTTTTATATGTTCATACTGTGTAATATACCTGTAACATGTATGCTGCTACGTTCAAATTACACTTGTTTTAACTGTTTTACAATAAAAGTTGAGTTTTAACAGTCAAATGTATATTTGTAAAATTTTAGACACCTTTAGGGCTCGTTCACACTTGACTGTTTTTCCAACTCTTGCCAAATGCCCCTATAGCGTTTGACAAGCATTGGTCCGGCGTTTGCGCAAATGCCGCATGCAGGGTTTGGCGGCGGTTGCTAGGTGTTTGCCAAGCGTTAAAAATGCCCCACAAATGCCTATAATGAAGTTTGAATGGTGTTAACGCTCCGCAAGTGCCTCGCACCACAAACGCCGGCCGGGCATTTGCGGAGCTGCACCATAGACTTGAATAGGTCTGAATAGATCTCAGCTCCTCCTGACTCGACCAGAGGCGTCCGTTTTGCCACGACGCAGCGCGACGCTAACGCTCATGTTTGTACCATGTGCTACAATGTGCAGAATTTTCCCAGGCGTTTGGGAAACGGTAAAATGCTTCCCAAACGCCTGTCTGCAAACAAGGCTAGTGTGAACGTAGCCTTAAAGTCCCATAACTAGAAGAATTTTTTTTTTGTGATTTAATTCTATGTGGTGCATGTTGGTGGAGAACATGACAGGGGCATGTCCTTTGCCTGCTTATTTAAAGCTTATTTAAAGTGGTTATAAAGGCTCAAGGTTTTTTACCTTCATGGATTCTATGCATGAAGGTAAAAAAACCTTCTGTGTGCAGCAGCCCCCCCCAGTAATCACCTGAGCCCTCTTTGGATCCAATGATGTGCACTAGAGCAGTGTTTCTCCCTGGTCTCTGACTCCTCTTTGGCAGAGAAAGCAATCGCAGCCAGTGAGCCAATGAGGAGAGAGCAGGACCAAGCCATGCTCTATGTGTGAATGGACACGCAGAGCAGAGGCTCGTGAGTGAACCTGCTTGGGTGCCACCATAGCAAGCTGCTTGCTCTGGGGGCACTTGGCAGGAGGGAGGGCCAGGAGTGCCAGCGGGAGACCCGAGATGAGGAGGATCGGGGCTGCTGTGTGCAAAACTGCCGCACAGAGCAGATAAGTATGACATGTTTATTTATTTTTTTCTAATAGCCTTTAATATCACTTTAAGGTAAGAGGTGTCATTCCATTTCTCAACTCAACTCAAGAAAGTTGGGAGGTATGGCTATGGGCAGCAAGAACCTTTCCTCTTAGCTCACATCAACCCTGTCATGCCTTAACCACTTCCAGACCGGACACTTTTACCCCCTTCCTGACCAGGGCAATTTTCAGCTTTTAGCGCTATCACACTTTGAATGACAATTGCGCGGTCATGCAACACTGTACCCAAATGAATTTTTTACCATTTTTTTGAGATAGATAAAGCTTTATTTTGGTGGTATTTATTCACCACTGGGATTTGTATTTTTTTTGCTATGTAAATGAAATGTCCAAAAATTTTGAAAAAAAGTGTTTTTTTTTATAAAATTTTGCAAATAAATAATATTTCATCATAAATCTTAGCCAAAATTTATTCCGTTATCTTTTTAGTAAAAAAAAAAAAAAATCCAAATTAGTTTATAAGCAAAAATTATAATTTTTAAACATTTTTTTTTACATTTTTATTTTATTTTTTTATATTATTATTTTTTATTTTTATTTTATTTTTTTACATACTGTCATCCTAGCAGTACAGTGTCACCATGGTGACACTGTACTACTTGTGAGGGGTGATGAAGATTTTTTTTTTTTTTTTTACACTGATTGCTTTTACACCCATATAGGATGTAAAAGCAATCATTTCTCTTTCTCTCTGTGTGCATTCTTGCACTCATTGAGAAGAACTGAGTGAGCTGTGATTGGTCACAGCTTGTCACATGGTACAAGGCTTTTGTGAATAGCCTTGTACCATGTGACCTCTGTGATCATTCACAGATTTCACACATAGTAAGCAATGATGTCAGAAGTGACATCTTGCTTACTACTTTGCATGTGATCACTGATTGGCCAATCAGTGATCACATGATCGGGACCTCGTACAGAGGTCCCCGTCCGACGATCGGTGTTTCACTGTGTCCGGAGGACACAGCGGGCACCGGATCGCGGTGCTGCGCGCTCCCAGGGAGCGCGCACAAGCAGGGTGCGGGGAGGCCGTTTATAGACGGCCACCCAACCCTGCAGTGCCACCGTCCGGCCGTTTATATTCAACGGCCGGTCGGGAAGTGGTTAAAGTTAATGCCAAACCTGCTCCTAACCCCATTCTAAAGCTATTCTATCTAACCCTGTAAAGAAAAGCTCCAGTGTTGGCTTCTGTGCACAGGAGAGATCAATGACAATGGCTGAAAATGCCTGGGAAATAATGCCACCCATTGGCTTACTATGGGGCAGCTGCCCCTCCTCTACAAAGAGGCCGCTGACAGCTGATCCTGACACCGGACCAGGGTGGCTTCAGAACACACTGTATTGCCAAAACTATTGGGACACCCCTCCAAATCAATAGATTCAGGTGTTCCAATTACCTCCATGGCCACAGATGTATAAAATCAAGCACCTAGGCATGCAGACTGCTTCTACAAACATTTGTGAAAGAATAGGTTGCTCTCAGGAGCTCAGTGAATTCAAGTGTGGTACTGTGATAGGTTGCTACCTATGCTATAAGTACATCTGTGAAATTTCCTTGCAACTAAATTTTCCACAATAACTGTTAGTGGTATTATACCAAAGTGGAAGCAACTGGGAACAACAGCAACTCAGCCACAAAGTAGTAGGCCACGTAAGAAGGTAGAGCGGGGTCAGCGCATGCTGAAGTACACAGTGTGCAGAAGTTGCCAACTGTCTGCAGAGTCAATAGATAAAGACCTCCAAACTTCATGTGGCCTTCAGATTAGCATAACAACAATGCGTAGAGAGCTTCATGGAATGGGTTTCCATGGCCACTGGACTCTAGAGCAGTGGAGACATGTTCTCTGGAGCGACCAATCACGCTTCTCTGTCTGGCAATCCGATGGATGTGTCTGGGGTTGCCAGGATAACGGTACTTGCCTGACTGCATTGTGCCAAGTGTAAAGTTTTGTGGAGGGGGGGATTATGGTGTAGGTTTTTTTTCAAGCACTAGGCTTGGCCCTTTAGTTCCAGTGAAGAGAACTTTTAAGGTGTCAGCATACCAAGACATTCTGGACAATTTCAGGCTCCCAACTTTGTGGGAAGAGTTTGGGGATGGCCCCTTCCTGTTCCAACATGACTACGCACCAGTGCAAAAAGCAAGGTCCATAAAGACATGGATGAGCGAGTTTAGGTTGAAGGAACTTGACTGGTCTGCACAGAGTCCTGACCTCAACCCGATAGAACACCTTTGGGATGAATTAGAGCGGAGACTGCGTGCCAGGCCTTCTCATCCAACATTGGTTCCTGACTTCCCAAATGCGCTTCTGGAAGAATGGTCAAACATCCCCATAGATACACCCCTAAACCTTGTGGACATCCTTCCAAAAAGAGTTGAAGCTGTTATAGCTGCAAAGGCCAACTCAATATAGAACCCTGTGGACTAAGCCTGGGAAGCCATGAAAGTTCATGTGAGTGCAGGGGCGGACTGACAACTCTTGGGGCCCCTGGGCAATAGGGGATCATGGGGCCCCTGTGTCCTTGCCCAAACTCAAAAAAGCCTATGAAAAAGGTACCAGGGACATCTCATGGGGCCCCCTACTGACCCCGAGCCCTCAGGTAGTGCCCGAGTTTCCAAATGATCAGTCCGCCCCTGTGTGCGTGTAAAGGCAGGTGTCCCAATACTTTTGGCAATATAGTGTAGATAAGTATACACATCTTTTTTTACAGTGTTAGATAGAATAGCCTCAGAAGGGGGTGGGAGTAGGTTTATTCTTCATTAGGTTTTGCCTGAACTTCTACTTTAAGTGCAATCTGCCACCTGGAAGAGACACACAACTGAGATCTTGGCACAGACCTTTGCTGTTTAATCCACCCAGAAGAGCCAAAGCTCCATTGACACCAGATTGCGTTGTTGGAGCCAAGTTATTAAAAAACAGATGAAGAAATAAAAAATATGATCAAGAGGGGCAACATTTTTTAACCTGGCAATGCAGATTTTTCACACTTTCCACTTAAGCCTTTTCATTTTTTTGTCCGATTTCTATGTTTTTCAGCTGCTGCAAACTGACAGTTGATGGGGATACCCATAAGACCTTAGCAGATTGCATTTCCATGGCAATAGTTTGAGTTGACTGCATTCTGCAAACTATTCCTTAGGCCTACAGGGCTCAACTCACGGGATTAACATTTACGGTTGCAAATAAAGAGTTAACCAGATCCTGAAAAAAGTCGTTGTTATCACAAGCAGGTATAGAGCCAGCCAAACTTGTTTTTTAAGCCGTTTTCAGAGACTACACCGCCACTATCTTCAGCGCCCAAGGCTGTAATGAATAGAAACCGGAGAGGAACCTAAACACAAAAGACTGGAACCCCAATGTGTCTTTTGTTTTTCCTTAGGTCTGTGGCCACTAACATTACTTCTTTACACTACGGCCACATAATATGCCCTCCTCTCCAGAGCAGAAAGGCTCTTTTACATTTTAATGTGACCTTAGTGCTTTTCAAAAAATCAGGGGAACATCTGACTACACTTGAGCCTGAATTGAGCTAATGGCATTCACCTAGTCTTTAGATGCAAAATTGGGAGATAAAAAGGCCTTGATGTGAAAGGGAAAGAGAGGGGAGGGCGAGTGGGAGGCAGCGGAAGAGGGTTGTGAAAGGGAAAGGGGGGGGGGGGGGGAGGTAGACAGAGATTAGAGATATTGCTAAAAAATCTTCTGATTGGGAGTCGATAGTAAAATGTCTCCCTTTCTTTTTAGGAAGAAAAAAAAATAGCTACGGTCCTACGAGATGTCCTTGCGCTTTCATTTTTAATGATAGAATCTTTTTATTCCCTTGGCGAGAAAAATTTCAATGTAGCTGCGTATGTGTGTCCAATAGATATCTTGACCTTTTGCAAATCTTACTTTTGAAATCAGATGGAGCGGTTATTGCAATATTCTTGGCCTGGTAAGATTAAAAAAAAAAAAAAAAAGCTTTCTCCCGCAGTAATCAGACCTGGATTACATTTATTAAAAGTGCATCATCTACATTTAAATGACACTTGTCATTCTGACAGAATTATATTAAATCCTCTGAAAATGCAGAGGAACGCCAAGATTTTAACCCCAGCCAAGCCTTGTAAAATGCGCCGAATGAGCCTTTGTTTATTAGTACAGGTGTCTGCTGCTAAATTTCAGGAAAGAAAAAAATTCCAGCAGAGGATGAATGACTGAGATGAACACCGTGGGCTATGTTGGTTGCTTTTAGAGAATTCTTTCCTTCACCAAACTCCAGGGTAGACCACTGTAGTCTGGCACTCTCTTAGTTCCACCTCTACCCCTTTTTTGTCCATTGAATGTTAGGTGGCATTCTTGATTGCTACTAGATAAGTGGTCTGGTGCAGGGGCGGACTGACAACTCATGGGGCCCCCAGGCAATAGGGGATCATGGGGCCCCTGTGTCCTTGCCCAAACTCAAAAAAGCCTATGAAAAAGGTACCAGGCAGGGGCAGACTGACAACTCATGGGGCCCCCGGGCAATAGGAGATCATGGGGCCCCTGTGTCCTTGCCCAAACTCAAAAAAAGCCTATGAAAAAGGTACCAGGGGCATCTCATGGGGCCCCCTACTGACCCCGGGCCCTCGGACAGTGCCCGAGTTTCCAAATGGTCAGTCCGCCCCTGGTCTGGTGGTAAAAAACCAACAATATGGTGGTCCATGACCCTCTATAAGGCTTTTGCATGGTGATTGCAGGGTGGTAGCAGGGATACAAATCAACAATCCATTCACACCAGATGGACCCCCCAGATGAAGAAAGAGGGATCAAGCCACTTGGCGGTGGTTTTTTGCTTGACACAGTTGCTGACTGTCAATGGGTGACATGGCCCAGCATCTTGAGTGGTAGGTTACCTAACGAATGTGATGCCTCTACATTGAAAACCTATTTTCCACAAAGGCCTGCTTTAAGGCAGCATGTCAGCATCCTAGAAAATGTTTCTTAAGGTTATTCAAAGCCCCATCTCTGTTTTTTTAGCTTTTGCAAAGTAGGGCAGAGGTAGACCATCTCCCAGATTTATATCATTTTCTGTGCCCCCACTGGAGACACTGGAGACATTCAGCTTCCCTATTTGTCCTGGAAACAATAGAAAAAGATAGGAAATCCAAAATATCACAGCTGCCACTAGATCAGAAATAAGGAAACCTTCCCATAGGACACCTGTTCCAAGAACAGGCACGTAAGGCGGGATTTCTCCTGAATATGAAGAAGGTTCCTCTAACTTTCTGTTGTGATTATAGAACAGGAAGTGAATGAAAGTCTCCCCAGTGAGACACAGTCAAAAAAATAAAACAAAAAAAAACAACATACAATGATATACGTTTTGACCATTCCATAAATCATACAAAAAAAAAAATATTTTTTGAACTTCCTATGCCTACCCAGCCGGCGGGTAGGCATAGGAACAATCCGGGACTGGATGCCTCCAGTAAAGGGTTCCCTAGATATCCAGATTTCTTATGCTCTACATGCCGCCACACACTTACAGTACTTCATGTGATTTGACAATTTGTTTTTATCATACAATAAATGTGTTAATGCTGCACTTAGATGGCGTCCTCCAATGTGTGTTTTTATGTCTTGATTCAGAGATTTATTCCGTCTGTCTAGAGGAGCAGTATCGCGTGAAAGGAAGCTTACTGGAGTCTACCCTGACATACCCGATAAAGACTCGTTTAATGGACTCATGGTTATGCATCCCAATGTTTATCTCTGCTATAAGGAGGTTACCCATACACTACTTGCACCATAAAGACATTTCTAATAACCGACCTAGCTAGTTTTATACAGAAGTTTTTCAGATCTTTCTCTATTTCCATCATGAAGGGGGCACCATGCTGGTAAGCCCCCTATGGACATGACTATGCTGGCTTTGCTGTTTTTGTCTATCAATTACATGGGCATATGTGATTCCTGCAGAGTGCAGTGTGAATTCACAATGGTTAATTGTGATCGATCCATAAGGAATATGTCTCTGCTACTATCAATGCACTTTTTAAAACCTCATGTAGCATTTTTTTTTAAACCCTTCACATTCCAAGGAGATTTCTCCCTTTGCTAATTAAGACAGATCTTGCCACAAGTGTCTGTGAGTTAGGATTGGAGATTACTGTACTTAGCAAGATTAAAGAACGAGATGCTCGTAGCAAGGTGGTGTCTGTCACTCTTTGAAGAGGTTACCTATGTATTAAAATAATTTCTCCAGCATTTAGATTAGTGTCAGGGGAATTAAGTGTGGTGTTACCAATGCAATGTGTGCTCATATTCAACATCTTTAACCTTTGCCTGATAGGAAATCTTGCATTATATTACAGTGGAGTCTATTGCTCTTTCAAACTGAAAAGAACGTAAGATATTTGGACTATATTCTGATGTATATAATGTCTCACTTGTCCTGCTTAGATGGATGAGGTCATTGTCAAGTCACATTACTTGTCCACTCATTGAAGGTAGATTGTTAGAGGGGGCAATATTATGGAGTGGACACGTGGAAGCTTGACCCACCCCGAAAACCTTCCTTCTATGTGTGGATGAGAACTTAAAGTGATTGTAAACCTCAGACATGAAATATGAACAAAACATATCTCTCTATATTGTGTTCTTGTCTCAATTAAGAGCACTAAGTGTCATTTCTGTCTGCTGCTGCATTCCTCTGATATCTGTCGCTTCTGACAAGTTTTCCTGACACCAAGAGAAAAATGA